GTTAAAAAGAATGATACTCATTGTGGCTACATTCTATTTTCATTCATTTGAGAGAATCACCTAAAATGCTGAATAAAATATAAAACTTTATTTTAATTCATGGCTAATCTGTTGAATAATAAGGAAATTTTGGGTGGCAAGAAAGAACAGAAGTATATATTGTATCTGGGTTTTGTCTTAAGGTTTTTGGTGATAGTTTTGGTGGATTAGGACTTGAGTATATTTAAAACAGTGTCTAAAAAGCAGGAACAAAACACACCTGGAACTGTATTGGGATGGCTATTCAAAAATATCTTACTCAAGAAGCCAGGACCCACAACTCCCATGAGACAACACACTCAGTAAAAATAATATATACACATGTCCACACTTACACCCTTATAGATCTATGGAGACTGTAAAGATACATGGTCCTCTTGATCAAGGCTTAGCATGTGAGAGTTAAACTAGAAAATGCTAAAGATAAAAGAAGATATTAAAAGCAGCCAGCAAGTGCCCATTACTTACAAAGGAAAATCAATTAAACTATTTATTTTCAATAATAACAATGGAACCATAAGACAGTGAAATTTATCTTGAAAGATCTGACAGAAAATAATTGCAAACCATAATTCTATATTTGGCAACACCATATTTCAAGATTGAGATAAAATGACAAACTTTAAAGAAGAGAGAATCTAATACCAAGATACCATCAATAGATGAACACTAAAGGGATTTACTTTATCAAGAAAAAAAATATTTACAGAGAATGATGGGAAACGCAATATTTAGCAAAACAAAAATGTCATGTAAAGGGTAATGATAATAATGTATATTTTGTGGTTTAAAAAAAAAAGATCAAATAGAACTAAAATCATTAACAATAGTAAAAAGTAAGATCCTAAGTCACAGAATGAATAATTGGAGTTAAAGTATTCTAAATATAGGCATATAAAGTTATTCACTCATTTTAGACTTATTGAGTTAAGTGTTTTACATATTTTATAGTAGCAACAAGAAAGAATAGATGTAAACTATATAAACTCCAAATGAGTGGAAGGAAAAAATGAAAAGAGAAAACAAACATCCAATCAGCAAAAAACAAGACAAAAAATTGATAATAAAAAATTAATAATAAAAGAAACCTAAAATAAATAGGAATCAGAGAAAGTGTGAATAAAAGGGAGAAAAACATATTGGGATATATCAAGTATATCATATAGTATTTGATATAAATGCAAAAATTATCTTTTTAAGAGAAAAAAGTTGTCAGAGTGCTGAAAATTATAAAGTACATTTCTGAAAAATTCACAATTTTGAAGGTAAAAAGATAGAACAAAATATAGACTAGGTGATTAGTAACCAAAATAAATCACCTGGTATTGTGATATTAAAATGAAACCAAGTAGGTCAAAGACATTACTAAAGAGCATGACACTTCATATTTGCATAACATAAAATTCATCAAAAAGATATAACAAATTTAAATTTGTATGTACTTAATAATATTGCTTCAACATATATAAGGCAATATTTGATAGCTCTATAAGGGAAAATAATAAATCTGTCATCATTATGGAAGCTGTAACTCAATATCTTCAATAAAGAATATAGATAAAATATTAATATTAAAGTAGAACACTTGAAAACACAAGTAACAAATGTGATCTATTATATTTACAGTGAATGCAATTGTATTTACAATTTATTGGATTTACAAATTTGATCTATTTTATCAACATTGGAAAATACATAATCTTTTCAAATTTATATTATACATCAATAGAAATTGTTCATAAATTGACCATAAAGCAACTCTCAAAATATATACCTTGTATCATGCACATCAATTCTCTAACCATAAATCTATGAAGTTAAGTGTTAACAATAAATGTGGGAAATAAAAGACTGTGACTATTTAGAAAGAGTAGACAATGGAAGAAATCAGAAAATGATAGGAATTGAATAGACTTGGGATACAACTAAAGCATAAAGAGTGCACAATTAAAAAATGATAGTAGAACAATTTATCCATTTAGAGAAAATAATAATACAGTAGATCTCTGCAACCCACCTTGTACAAAAGTCATATCCAGATGAATCAAGAATTTAAATATAGAAACAGTTACTTTAAAACTTAAATATTAGAAAATATTTGTATTATCTTGAGTTAAGGAGGGTGTTTTCAAGAAAGACACACAGAAAAAGAAAAACATAAGATGATTGATATTTGCAACTATTTCAAAACTAGAAACTTTCTTCAAAACATACCATACAAATAATGAAATGAGAAGTCACAAACTGAAATAAGATAAACTAATTCTGATAAGGTATAAATATCCTGAATATTTTAAGCACATCTAAGATTTGTCACATCTCTCCCCTCCAAAGCAAGGCAAATAGCCCAGCAGAAATTGTAAATTATGGAAACAAGCATGCCACAGAAGAAATGTGAATACAAACAACCAACATACAATCAAAAATATCCAAATTTACCTTATTAGTATCCAGAGTAACATACTAAATGCCACTATTTAATACAGACAAAATTGATCATATTTTAAAATGTCTTTTTTGAAGTTTGTTTAAGATATTTTATGATTTCATAACATTCAGTCATTTCAAGTGTATACTTCAATATTTTTTAGTAACTTTACTGAATGGGGCGATCACCACCATAATTGTGTTTCAGAACATTTTCATCCCCTTATACACTTTTTACATTGACAGTTAATCCCAATACCCACCTCACACCCAATAAACTACTTTCCATCTCTAAAAATTGCCATTTCTCTAGATTTCATGTAAACATAATTACATACTATGTGTCTTTCTGTGACTGCCTTTTATCACTAAGCATAATGTTTTTAAGTGTCATCCTCGATGCAGCATATGTCAGCAGTTTGTTTCTTTTTAATTGCTGAATAGAATTCTACTGTATGGCTATAATAACTACTTTTTTGCTGTTCCCAAAAGAATAAGTATTGAAGAAGATGTGGAACACTGAAAATATTTTGAAGCAGCTGATAGAAGCATTGGCTAGTAGAAATTTGGAAAGCAACTTTGCATTACCAAGTATAGTTGAACAAGGACATTTCTTTCAAGATCATAATTCTGCTCATACTCCTTCACAAAAACATAATGGAAATATGTAAAAATGCCTCATAAATGGTAATGTACACACATAATGGGATGCTACTGAAAAGGAATAAATTATGATGGCATATATCAATATAGATTAATTTCAAAATCTTAGAGTTACACAAAATATGGAAGTCAGCAAATAACAAAGTTTTACTCATAAATTTCATAAACAGGAAAAACTAAATAGTGTATGCTTTGAAGATATACTTACAGGTGGTAAACTATAACAAAAAATAATAACAAAATTCAGAATACTAGCTCCTTCTGCATTGACAAGGGATGGTATTAGAGAGTCATACAAAAGTGATTTTGTTGTCAAACCTTAAGTTTGTTAATAGTAGAAAGTGGTTGCTATATGTAGACATTATATTATTATTTTTAAAATGTATATTTATATATAAGCTTATATGTTTATGTATTTTAAAAAGTAAAAAATAAAAACAACTTTTAGTTGACAAGTAATAACATCAAAAAATCAAGTACCATTGATGGTATAAATGTTCTGAGCACAAATAAATGATGGGTTACCTTTTTGCCATATAGGCTCGAGGAGGATAGACTAACAATTTATTGAGTATCCGCTATGTGCCAAACCTTACTCTGGGTGTTTTGTACATCAAAAACAACTGAGTTACAGTGCAAAAGCAAAGGCAGTAGACTGCTTTCAAATGTATCATTTCTGAATTGAATGGGGTGAATTGGCTGTATTTCTTTCTGGAAAGGCCCGACTCTGCAAGAATCCATTTGTAGGATAGTCTATGTCTGAGAAAATGGGAGAGATCGATGAGGAATTATACACTGATTTTGGAACTGGTGAGTTAAGAAAATCAGTACCATGGACAAACTATTTTTTTTATGTAAATTGTCTATATGTGGGAGCGTGGATATCTATGGATGCTGTTTTATTGTTATTGTTGTTTGTTCTTGACCTTGAAGTGCAACGTGTTATGCTGTCTTTTGGGGGGAAAATCATAGGGCAATGTGAAAGATTTTCAGAAAAGGCCATAAAATGTATTAGCAAATGTACTCTTTAGATATATTCTTTACCATATAAAAAGTAAAACATCATGAACATAATTGTTTATCCAAGTTATTCACTTTAAATTCTAGACATTTTGAAACCAAAATTTAAAATGACAAATCATTCAGTGAAAAACTTTTAAAAAGTAAATTTTAGGCCAGGTGCCTGGACAATAGTAGGATTCCATCTCTACCAAAAAAATTAGCTAGGAGTGGTAGGCTGTACCTCTATTCCTAGCTACTCAGGAGGCTGAAGTGGGAGGATCACTTGAGCCCAGGAATTTGAGGCTGCAAGTGTCAGAGGGTTGGAGTGATAAGCAGAAGATGAAAATGAAAAAGGGATACATATCCACAGTGGAATAATTTTTTTTTTTTTTTTAGAGAAACTGAACTATGCAGTGAACTATGACCATTCCACTGCACTCTAGCCTGGGTGATAGTGAGACCTTACCTAAAAAAAAAAAAAAATTCAGAAATAAAAGGAAGCAGAAAGCAATAATTATTCATTCATTGGAAGTCTGTGGAAATTTTAAGAATTAGATTAGTTCAACAACTTTAGCTATTTTTTATCTACTCTAAAAGAATATTTTTAATTCAAAGGTTCTGCCTTCAAAACCAATGTATCTACTTTAATATTATATGATAATATTATTTACCATATTAATATAATATATTTGAAAAGAAAATAATCTTAATATTTTATATTAGAATACCTCTTCCTACAAACTAAACCTGTTATGAGACTCAGCACATTTTTGGACAATGAAAGAATACCAGCTTTAGGCTATTTTCTAGATCTTGTAGGCATGCTTCATTCTTATTTATTCTTTTTTCTTTTTCTTTTCTGACTGTAGCCTGCCTTCGAGCTCACTGATTCATTCTTCTGCTTGGTCAATTCTACTATTGAGGGATGCTGCTAAAGAACAGCACCTTTAAGAAGAAGGAAGAAACATGTAGGGGTAGTAAGAATAATTTGTCTACTGTTTGGCACTGCACTTATAAAGAGGGTAGAAAACTTTTGCTGTATGCTGCAATTTCTATCAAATTTTGAGGTCTGATAAAATAGAGAAGAAAATTACACCTGGTTTTGGCAGGAAGGAATAATCTATTTTAACTACTCAAGTACTGGGTCAGAATGGTGTTGGGGCAAAGACAAATAGGAGGTCAGTATGTGGCACTCATCCAGTAGAGGAGACGCACGTATGTAGAGCCGAGAAAAATGATGGCTATAACCAAGACTCCCTGAGGTCTTTTGTTCCCTTCCACCCAGAGTTTTATATTTCCTTGCTACTTATTGCCATGGATGGAAAGAAGCCTGGCAAAGAATACTTCATAAATGGGCAACATTTACAAGTGCATTAGTATTTTGAAAAAGGCTCCAAAGGAAAACATTTTTACCTGGAGATTCTTGTTCTATAATTGTTAGGAGGGAACAGATTGGGGACAGAGGCTGAGGGCTGTTCCAGAACTCCTCAATCCATACTACAGAGATAAGTGTCTACAGCTAATCCTTTCGTAGACTCTAAAATATTTGTGTTAGTCAGAATTGACATAATGCAAAAATAGATTTTAATTGAGAGAGGAGCTCATGGCTCCAAAAGCAGGTTTTGATCAAAATCACAAGAAGGGAACTTTTCAACCCATCTAGTTACTATGTATTCATTAGCCACATCCTTCCCAAACACTTTGTTGATATTTTGAGCTGTCTGTGCTACATCAGTTCCAAGACAGTACTCATATTCGAAAATAACACGAATTTTTGACTTATCCATGGTTTCACAAAAAATTGCTCTAAAGAAAATTTGAAAGTGATCACAAGCAAGACTGAGGATATACATTCACAATAAAAATAAAACTATAAGTGTCAAAGTGAAATGTCAAAGATATCAATTGTCAAACTTAGTACTTAAGGAAATTGGACATTTTATACTTAATAACCTAGATATATTTATGTATGTATATATAAATACATATATTTATGTATGTATTTATATGTGTAAGATCTATTTTAACACATATAATTTTAAGTGAAATGTTATTTAATATTTGGAGTAATGATTTTATGGTATATATAATATACCATAAATGTAATATACATTCTCATAAATCACAATTCATAAAGCTAAACCATTTTTTGGCCCATAACCCCCTTTGTGATCTGCCTCAGTCTAATTTCTTTGCACATGTTAATGCTAAAGTTTCACTTTAGTTTTTTTTTTCTTTTTTGGCACACATAAAATTAGTATCCTATTGGCCCTACTTTTTCCTACTATAACAACCCTTGCCACCAAAAATTTTGTGTGCCTATTTACAGTGTATTAAATCAGTTCAAAATCATAAATTATAAGAATTCCTTTGAGAGAATTATTTAATATAGGAATTTATGAAGAAAATTTTAAAAATAGTGAAGAATTAATGATCCCACACCATAAAATGGTAATTGTGTACTTTATTTACTTTTAAGTTAGGAATGATTTATATGCAATAAATTATTTCTACATTGTATGGTTCTAAAACGTTATTTTTTTTCTGCTTCTCCTAAAAAAAAATCATGAAAATATTTAAGCCAGTTTCCCTAAAAAACAATATTTATTCCACTGTGCATATATATCCCTTTTTCATTTCCATGTTCTGCTTATCACTCCAACCCTCTGACACTTTGATGATAAATTATGACGTGCTTTTTCTTCCTTCTTATTGCTAGTTTTAATATGTTCTCTACATCTATTCTTGCTCAAAGTTGACTTTAGGTATAAGAAGTTAATTATTTTAAAAATATACTTACTTCAACATACACTGGGAGTAAAAGAAATTTCTATAATCCTGTTTTGTTAAAATCTTATATATACACTGAAAAATATTAAACTATCTTTTCTAAGATAAGCAGAAACCATTTCACTCAGCAGACAACTTCGCTTGTCATAGTGCAAGGTTCTGATTTTAATAATATTTTTTTATTATTTGGATCATACATGCTTCTGGACTGATTTACTGTCATAAACACTTCTCTTTGTTAGCAATAAAGAAACCATAGAGATTCACCTGTGTGATATGCTTATCCAGAAGTTTTAATTTAATAACTTCTTTAGAGCCTTTACCAATTTGCCTTTGTTGAGTTTGGGTACAGTTCCTCTTGATCATGACTCTATTACATATAATAATAAAGGTGAAAATTCTGCAACCACATAATTTAATAACTGCAACTGGTGACATATATATTTAAAAATCATGTTCCAATCTGAATGATCTATTTATATTAATCAAATTAATCACAGAATTCCCAGATCTATTCTTGACTTTGTTCTCTGCAGAATTGACCTCTAAATTTACTATAAACTTTCTCTCACACTAAAGCATTAAAAGTGAGTGTTTTTCTTTTAATGCTGGTCTAACATTTTATGACATAAAGCCATACATTTAGAAAGTAAAAGTTCCAAAAAATAATGTTTTTATATTATCTAATTGTGTAAACTGTGTTCATTTTTAGGCTTTTAGGAAAGTACAATAAGTGTTCAGATTCCTAAGGTATCAACTGAAAATTATGGCTTTAGTTATTTCTTTAGAAAATGTGGACCTCAAGTGAAGAGGGTTGAATTAATCGAATCTTACATTCATAGCATTCCAACAACATTGGTCTAGGCAAGGTCCCTTTCATGTTTCATTTATTCATTTATATTCCTTTATCCTCATCCTTTACTTGTTTCTATATATTTATAGGCAATTGCTGAGATTTGTGGATATAAGTTCTTGAATTAGGATGTACTCTTATAAATATGTAGTGAGCTTTTGGTATGTATAGCTTAATTTACATAATGCTACTTTTGTTTTACATAATTTAATTTGCATTGTGCTTTTAAAATCTGTCCATGTTGTTATGTTTCCATCTACTTTGTTTTAACTGCTTTCCATATTGGAAATATGACAGTTTATTTAATTGTTCTCTCTGTTCACACAAATTTTTATATTGTGTAACTCTTATATGTTAACTTATGTAACTTTGCAAACTTTTGAGAGAGACAGAAAGAGAAGAAAAGAAGACTTTGAGAATGTGTGTGTAAGAGAGAAGGAATGAACTAGAGGTGAATTGCTTACTCTTACATATTTACTCAATTTGAATGAGTTTGTCTTTTCTGTCCTCCAGCTGGCTTTATTCCAGTAATTAGGACTTTTGAGTTAATTGTGTTTGAATAATAAAGGGCAGCTTCTAACCCACTGTTGGAAATTTAAGTTTTGTTTAAAAGTCTTCAACCAAAGTTGCTAAAAGGAAACACGTTGTCATTATTACAAAATGTTTGGGAATTGTTTTTGGCTTTTATGTACATGATGCTCTTAGAAAGATGATGGAATTTGGTTTCCGATCTGGACTGAAACTCTATGTCTACAACTTCTTAGGTGTGGGACATTGGGTAGGTCTTATATTGCGCAAATGCTTAGAAATCCTGCTAGGGGTTATTTTATGGGTAGGTCTTATTTTGGGGGAAACATAGTAAATACTTATTTCATATAATTTTTGTCATGATGAGTAGGAATGATATACATAAAATTCTACCAAAGAGTAATTCTGAATGCAAATTCCATTCCCCTTCTTACACTCTCCTTTTCATCTTCCAAATGCTTAGGGTGGTGGCTATTCATAGTGTTGAGGGTATTGATCACTTTGAAATCAAATGAAAGCCATCTGTCATTTTTATTTTTAAAATTATGTATATGTTAAATACAAGATTTTACATAAAATATCAAGTTAATCAAAGATCTCTTGTAGAGACTAAATCTGTTTCTAAAAATATTTTCAAGTTCAACCAGAGCCTTCTAGCATTTACCTTTTTTCACAGAGGACAGCCCAAAGATAATAAATTAGATTCACAGCCCCCGTGATCGAGATGAAGAAACTGTTTACTGAGAACTGATGTAACAAGACCAGGGTGAAGCCAGGCAGTGGCAGCACTCCAGCCTAGCAGAACACTTTCTGCTCCGTTCTGCTGTCAAGAGATAAAGAATGAGAGTTCTCTGCATACCTTCTGCAAATTATAATTTGCTTTGTATGGAATGTTCATTAATGCCTTTTGTTTTCTTGTCCTGAGGCACACATCTATTCTCTGTCTGTTTATGCCTTTGGCAAATGAGTTCATTTTTTGCCATTATTTATTATTTGTACTTGTCAGATTTTTAATTATATAATTAAGTTGCTATTGGTCTTCACTAATAAAAAAATATTATCAAAGTGTTGTGACAGGGCTGTACCAAACAAGGGCTGAGGTCACTGAATATAAAAGAAAATTTAAAGATTCCAAGCTATAAGATATGTAATCTGTTTCACTCAAGGGCAAACTTCATCAGGTCTAAAAAATTCCCAGTTTTAGCAATATGTATTGAAATAGAGACAATATTAGTTCTGTATTATTCAATGAAATGACATTATGCCAGTGGGCAATATTCAAAATAGGAAATTGTAGAAAAATAAAATTAGGGCAAACAAGTAAATTTTTTTTCAGTTCCTTTCTATGAAAGCAGCAATTTTGAGAAATAAAACAATTTAGAACTATACAGGTTGTTTGTCTTGAGTTAGCAAAACTGAGGTCAGGAAAGTTGATGTCATTTACATAAGGTTACATACTGATTGGGTTCTTTTTATGCCATTCTCATTCAAGTCAACTTCACTGTTTTGTTTTTTCTTTCTTGTTTTAGTGTCTTTTCTTCATATACTTTATATATACTATTGTTTGGTCCCACTAATAGCATTCATAATTTAAGATACCCATGTCTCTATGATATAGGGGTTTGGAAGGTATAGATTAAAACATTTACACCACATTTCATGGGTTGTATATTTTTTTTAAATTAAAGTAGACATTCCTTAAAATGAATATTTAAATAATCCAAATTCCCTAAGAAGAAAAAAACCCCTGAATTTATATGAATTAACATCATCAGCTAAACTGTATGCCCATAGATAAGATACTATATAGACAGTAAAGTATATAAGTGTTATCATAAATT